AAGTCTACTAATTTTGTACTTAATGCACTTTAGTTATCCAGAAATAGTGCTGAGGTCCAACTAAGGCTATACATAAGCATATTGCAAGTATATATTTGGTAGGCTACACTTTAAATATCTTGCATTTAAAGACTGATATTATACAGAAATCATACTATCCTAATACATCTTAAAAGACATTGTATGCTTAATTTTAGGAAATGTGCAATGTTCAGTAAAGAAATATTCCAAATAAAAGTTTAATTATGATTTTTCTAACAGTAAGTCTCAAGCTATGTCATTAAATAGTATACTTAGTATGAAATAAAGGTATTTTAAATACATTTTGGTATAGGTTTTTTTTTCACTATAGGGTAAACTAAGCAGCACAAACTTTTTTCGACACTGATAATAAGAATTGTTTCTTGAGAGCAAATCAGCATATTGAAGTGATTTCTGAAGGATCATGTGACACTGAAGACTTGAGTAATGATGCTGAAAATCACAGGAATACATTCAAACAGTTATTTTAAATTGTAATGATTTTTCACAATATTACTGTTTTTGATCAAATAAATGCAGCTTTAATGAGCATAAAAGACTGCTTTCAAAAATATTTAAAAATCTTACCGACCCCAAACTTTGTGTTTTTTCCCCTGTCAATATTTACTCACCCTCATGTCATTTTTAACCCATATTCTGTTCAGTTTTTCCATGAATCAAGGGGATTTTCGAAGAATCTTCACATATCTTTCACAGCCAGTTTACAAGCTTTAAAAAAGCACCATAAAAGTCCTATAAATGTATTTTAAAATGAGTTCATACAACTTTCATGCAAGTCTTGAAGTCATATGACAGCTTTCTGAGAGGTATTGAACCGCATGAGGGTGAGTAAATTATGACAGAAGTTTCCTTTTTGGTTGAATTATCCTTTCTCCCGGCAGCCTTATCATCTCACTGACAAAAATATAAGACTCGGATTTTGGATTTAATAAAACTGGGACTGTTATTGGTAGTCACAGAGAAATGTTCCATACATTCCATTACATTTCTACTCATAAGTACAGGAGTACTCCAGCAGGATCACATTTTGGTGTTGCAGCACTAGATGAGTGTAAACTTTAATGGTGGAGGCAATAAACACACACACACACACACACACACACTCACACACTGTGGTTTATTTGCAGTGGGCAGTGCAATAATCAGTTCAATAGAGCACAACATCCTGAGAGAGAGCAACATCTGAACGGTGATTTAACTTTATTTTCAGTAGAATTCGGGTCCATGTGTTTGTTCGTGTGTGCCAGCAGTATTAAAGGTGCTGTGAGTGATTTGGCTCATTTCCATCATATACAAAATCTCTCCAAAACCCTGCCCTCCACAGACATGTCCAACACGATATATGCCAAACTGGAACATTCAAAATGATTGACAGGCAGAGAGCATTTCTAATTATCTAGTTCTCTGATTAACTGGACTATGTTTCAGATTGGCTAAATCACATTGGCTATGTTCAGAATTGAAATACTAATATAGGTCTAGTCTATATATGCTGTGCACAAATAAAACCAGAATGGCCTGCAACATTTTGCTAAACATGTGCATATAAGGCAAGGCAAGTTTATTTATATACTGTAGCACATTACTACATACACAATGGGGCTTTCATAAAATAATTGTAACCATAGGAGAAAAAATCAAATAAAAAATATATTTAAAATGGCATAACCACAAATCAGAATAAAAGAGAAGAATACATAAATATAAAATGTTTAAAAATATATATATATAAAAAAATATAGCCTATTCCAAGCTATATACTTGACCTTCCATTTACAGTGTTGAATGAGTAATTGCAGTAATTTTAGCATGTCTTTTTTGACTCATTATTTAATCAGACTGCCAAGGGTTTTGCATTTTAACACAATATTTAATGAAAAGTGCAAAATAGCATGGATGCCACATTGGATGCCACATGCAAAGTCATTGTGACACTAGGATACTATTTAACGTTTATGATAGAATAAAGCCTACTGTTTCACTTACCATTTAAAATGTAAAAAACAGTATGCAGTATAGAGTGTACAGTATATTATATTATATCCACCCTGTATCATGCTGTTGAGTTCAGTCTCAAGTGTTATCAAGATGAAATTGTTTCAAAGTTGTTTCTTCTTACAAAAATAAGATTACTTCAAGTTAATTTTATCAAGTATATACTTCAGTAAATTTGAATGATATTTTTGTCACAGTCACCAGCTGGTGTGCCCAGGTTGACCACTAGAGGGCACTCCTTCTCTGACCTTTGCCACTCAGCCATGAACTTCAGTCCCCATCCTTTGCCCGGACTCATCATGAATTATTGCATTCACCTGTTTGTCATTACATTGTTTGTCTCACCCTACTTATACCATGTTCTCTCTGTCATTTCTCATGTCTGAGCACTCTCCCTTGTCTCGTGTATTTTTTGTGGATTGTGGAAGTGTTTTGACCCATTGCCTGGCATGACTATGATTCTGGATATTTCAATAAAGCTGCGCTTGGATCTTACTTAAGCATCAGAGCAATCCGTGACATTTTTTTTTAAGTATACTTTATGTAGTAGGTATACTAATAATATGAATGGACTATAGTATATTTCTAAGTGTAGCCTACTATTTCAGTTATTGGGACTAATGTGGCCCACTTTTTAGTGTATAAAAGTATACTTTAAGTATCCTTAAAGTGTAACCTTTGAGTACACAAAATAGTTTTCAACTTATGATAATTTACTAGTTAAATACTTGTAGCACATTTTTTTAGTAAATGAAAGTAAACTTTGAAGTACTCTCTGTAAACTACTTTAGTAGTTTTATACTGCTTTTAAGTTTACTTTAGGTGAATTTCCAGTGAAGGTATTCATTTTTATACTTAAAATATACTTTAACAGTGTATGTTTGAAGCAAACTTTAAAGTAAATTAATTTGTACCAGTAGACTACACAAAGTTTTCTGTCAGTATAAGTCAAGTATTTAAGTGTATTTCTGAGAAGTACATTCTGAGAAGTGCATAAAAAATAGACTGAAAGTTGGCTATCCTTATTTCTAGTTTAAGTAATAGCTTGTATGGATTATTTCTAGTAATAGCACACTTGAATAAACTTCTTTTTTGTAAGGGTCAGTTTGAGCATTCAGTCTGAAGATTGTTTGACTACTTGCATGGATTTTACACTAGCAGTTAATATGCCCACATCACGTGGTGAGCTTCATAAAACAGGACACTGACACCCCATCCTGCTCGTTTCGTGTTTATCATTAATGACTTCTTGTACGAGACAAAGGTTAGTAATTCAAGTTTCTCTGGCCAACTCCATCTGAACGATTATAAATGGGTCTGATTATTCACTTTGTCATATGTGTCGACTGCATTTATCATGCTGCCTGATAAGTGACATCATAAGCAAAACACAACAAGCACTTCATATGAGTGTAAATCTGCCCATAATTGCTGGGCTCCTCGGTATTGTGACGTTTCCATGGCAATTAAGGTTTCAGATTAGGGAATGGATTAGGCTTGGATTATCTGGGGATTACGATGGATGATCGCAGCAGTCAAAACAAGTTAATTACGCTCTTCATCCATTTATTTCAATCAACTTTGTTAAACATAGAAAACTCAATATTGCACTCTGGTGGAGGCATTGGAAATGACACTGAGGCTTGATTAGTCAGACTCATGTACTGAAGGTGCATTCATTATATTAATATTATTTGATAGTGTCCGCACCACATACCAGATGTGTTTTCATTATGTCCAATAAGGATCCAGGCGGTTTGACCACAGAATGTGCCGCAGAATTATCAGGCTGAGCAGTGGCTTCATTTCATGGGAAGATTCTTTTAAATGAGCTCATTCTATTCGGCTTCATTTACAGCACACTTAAATGTGATGGGAAAACGTCCTTGTACTTTTTATGATTAAAGATCAGCTGTTAGCCAGATTATGCAGGTATATTACAGCTCGCCGGAGTCATGAACTCCAGAAAGGAAAATTAAGAAAGGGAATGTCCAGTCCAGGAAATTTACAGAACTGTCATGTCTGCTCTGATCAGTCTTTTGGGATTGTACCTTTCTATGGACCGGTAAGAAGTGTGAACTGGGAATTGTTCAGTCTTTGGTCGACTGTCATTTAAATTTTAATGATAATTGGAAAAAATACCATTAAACTGGGCATGAGCTAATAGGTGGGTATTTGACTATGATTATAGCTAGCTATATTGCATTTATATTAATGTCCCATATATTTCCCTTCCTATCTTAATACGCCTACATGAAAGGTCTTGGAGCATTTTCAGTAAATGTTGCCCTTTTTTTTTAGACAATTAAGAGCCCTCATTTAATGACAATATAACAGGCTTCTGAACATGAAGATTCAAGATTCTTTGTCATACGAAGGTATAGCGAAATTGGAGCAATCCTTACAGTGCCATCACATATAACTTTAGTGTTTGAAAACAGAATATTTTTGTTAAAAAATTGCAACATTACTTATATTTTTCAGTGTATAAGACTATGTGCAATATACTTTTTTTTTTTACATAATATTTTTATTTACAATTGTGCCATGACATTTGCCCTTTGAATAATCATGGTTTCCTCTTTTGACGTTTTTGAATGAGTGACAAGATAAAATGATGCATACATGATTCAGAGGTAAGTTTCTTTTAGAGTTTTTATCAATATCTCATGGATTTTATGTCATAGATTCATGCATACAATTTTTACAGATAAAACCCTATATAAAAAAGGCGTTTCATTTTCAAACTTTACTGTGACTTTAAAAATGGTTTCATCCACAGGTGATCAAGCTGCCTTTGTTTTCTGTTACAGGGCAATTATAGCGTTGTTAAAAGGCCCCTGAAATATAGCCCGTGGATCAAACACACATCACTCAGGTGTGAGTTATTGCACCTGTGCTGAAAATGCACCGGTCGTGTGCAAGTGCACTACAGCTGCCGTTCCCTGCGCATGATCCTCCAAACCAGCCCTGTGTGAGAAGAGAAGGATCTGTGACACTTTATTCAGTTAGGCAAGTGTCAGTTCTCTAACACCATCTGGATGGATTATTTCCATGCTTCTCGCCCTGTAAGGTCTTTATAATGGGAAGTAGTTCTGGCAAAGTGTTACCCGAGCCCTCCAAAAATGGATGTTTTTCTCTTATCAACTCTGTTGTGAACTTCAAGAAACAAGAGACTGACAGGGAAAAGTGTGACGAGAAACAACAAGCTTGGCTTTGGAGGAGAAGAAGTGGTAGAAGAGCTTCCCGAGAAGGAATATCAGAAGGAGTCAAGGAACTGGTTCATCTGGAGGAGAGGATGAGGAATCCTAATGCAAAGTTCCGTTCAAAGTTTGATCCACGTGTCACAGCGAGGTACTGATGATGTGCTTGACTGAGTTCAGAATAGCACACTACTACCATACTGCAAAAAATAGAATGAGCAGTACGTAGAATGGACACTTTATTGTGCACAGTATCTGAATTTTCTGTGTGTATTTGTAATGGTATATTTTAGTTGAAGTTTAGCAAAAATATTGTTTTATACACCACGGTTATAGTTTGCGGCTGGTAAGATTTTTTTACTAATATTTTTGAAAGAAGTACCTTATGCTCACCAAGGCTGCGTTTATTAATGCAGTAAAAACAGTAATGTTGTGAAATATTATTACAAATAATATTGTAATATATTTTAAAATGTCATTTTTACTCCTGTGATGCGAAGCTGAATTTTCAGCAACCATTACTTCAGTCTTCAGTGTCACATGATCCTTCAGAAAGCTCTTTTTTTCTTTTTCTTCAGTGTAACACAAACAACATTTTGCAAGAATCTTTTTACAACAACAATTCACAACAAAAGTGAACAAGCTCCAAATAATTTTACATGGTGCTGCATTGCACAATGCGCTTTTAATTTTCATTGTGACAAATTAATTAGTTATAATCTCAGCTGCAGTTTGTTAAATCTTTTTCCTTAATCAGGACTCACTTTTTGTTTGGACTGCCAGTAAATAAGACACTATACATTATAGAATTAACATTTTATATAATGTAAAATAACTAGATGCCATAGTATATGCCTAGTATTCCATTCCTAACATAACCTTTATGAAAAATTCTTGACAATGCCATAAACTTTATTACTTTAGACTGGATGACAGAATTAAGATATCAAACACGACATGTCAATTAAAGATCTCTGCTATAATGAAATGCTTTATCATATTTATTAGTCCACCAGTGTCCCTCTCAGCATTTAATATCAGGCTAAAAGTAATAATGAAATGTAATTTATTAAATAATGAGATGTAATTTAATTTGATGCATCCAATTACAGCAGCACAATAGTCTATCATAGCAGATGCTTCAGTGTTCAACAGAAATAGTTATAGTTATAGTTAACTAAAACTAAAACCATTAAAAAAAAAATGATAACTGAAATGAAATAATAAAAAAAATCACTTAATTATGAATCACTATAATTTGTTGTATAACTTATTTTATTTCAGCTAGTTGCCACAGAAACATTTCTGATTTCAATTTAGTTTAACATGTACTGAAATAAAACTGAAATAACAATGAATAAATTATTTAGGCACATATTTTTTAAAAAAAATTCAAAAACAAAATTAGACTTTAAGTAATATATATATATATATATTATATATATATAAAGGATCTATTATGCTTTTTTTTTTTAAATGTTCAACTTTCTTTAGTGTGTAATGTTGCTGTTTGAGCATGACAAAGATCTGCAAAGTTACAAAGTACAAAGTCACTCCAAAATGAGTTATTCTCAGTGTCACTGTTTCTGAACTCCCTGAAACGCCTCCATTGTAGTCTTGAGTTTTCTTCCGGGAATATGAACCTATCACAATATCCCTCATTTAAATAATTCCTGCCAAAGACATATGCAAAATAAAAGGCATGAGGCCTGGTTAAGTTGTGTTAGCAGCACTGTGTTGAACTCACAGTTATGGTAAGGGCTGTGGCATTTCTGAAACACATTCAAATCGGTTGACCAATCACAACACACTGCTCCAGCCGACCAATCAGAGCACATTGCGCTATTCAGGAGGAGGGGCTTCATAGAGACAGGAACTAAACAGAGTGTTACTGGCAAACTGGAATAGTGTCAAATATATGAAAAATAATGTGTTTCAAGCATGAAAACCTTTTCTAGTAGACCCCTAAAACAAAATCAAGACTAAAATGGCCTCTTAAATAACTCTCTAATAGTATCTAAATGATACTAAAATAACCCTAGTGTTTATATCTGTTCTAGGTATGACATCAAGGCTCTGATAGGCTGTGGGAGCTTCAGCCGTGTGGTTCGTGCTGAGCACCGGCGCTCGCGCCAACCCTTCGCCATCAAACTTCTGGAGGTCAAAGGTCGTGAGGGTCACGAGGCCTGTCAAGCAGAGCTCGGCGTCCTGCGACGGGTGAACCACTGCAATGTCATCCGCCTGGCTGAGGTGTTCGAAACGCCACATCGCGTCTACCTGGTTCTGGAGCTGGCCACGGGAGGAGAGCTCTTGGAGCGCATGCTCGCCCGAGGAACCTTCAGAGAACGGGACGCCACCAAAGCCTTGAAGATGGTGGCCAGCGGGCTGTGCTATCTCCACTCTCTGGGCGTCATCCACAGGGACCTCAAACCTGAAAACCTACTGTACTACCACCCGGGACAGGACTCGCGCTTGATCATAACAGACTTTGGGCTCGCTTGTTGGGACAAGACGCCGGCCTCATATCAAAGCAGGGAAGATACAAGTGTCTCAACTCACGACACGAACTGCGACTCGTCCTTTAGCGCTGTAGACTTCGAGAAGAGGCGTCAGAGTAAAGATTGGGCTGTGAGGACACTCTGTGGGACACCGGAGTACCTGGCCCCTGAGATGCTGGCTCAGACACCCTGTGGCAGCGCTGTGGATATGTGGGCGCTGGGCGTCATCACTTACATCGTGCTGAGCGGATCACTGCCCTTTGACCAGAGCAGCCGACCGAGGCTCTTCAGGGCCATTCTCAGGGGCAGCTTCAGTTTCCATGGTGATGTGAGTGTCACAATACCTTTCCTCACAGTTATCTTACAATGAGTACAAATGCACACATTCAGTGGCCTAAAAAGTATTTGGTCACATAAGACTAGGGATGCACCGATAGGATTTTTTAATACCGATAACGATTTTAACTATTGGCCGCTTTACAACATTTAGAGGTTATTTTTGCTAAAGAATATTTTTTAAAACAACATTATTTTACCCAGAGAAAAAATTTGGATTATGCAACAGACATTATATACTACATTACTCAGTGCCTTCACGCAGTTAATTAATAAATATAGCCGATACATTGTTGCATCTCTGATTAAGAAACACTTAAAATTGTCTTAATCTCATTGCATTGGATCAAACCAAATGCAGCTTTAAGTAAAGTGTTACCAAATATTATATCACGATTTAAGTGACTTTTTCAAAAACATAAACAAATCTTACCGACCCGAAAATGTATAAATTCCGTTTTAAAGCCATAATTACATGTAATACATTTTTAACTGACTAACTGTATCCAAATACTTTTTGGGGCAACTATTTTGTGGTATATTTTATATTTTCTTTTTGCACTTTCATGATCTTGTGATGGCCTAGACCACCAGCACTTAGACAGCTGGAATGAACCAGAGCAATGAAACATTCAGCCAAGTGTAAAGTAAAGGGCAAACAGAGTTTGTGTGTGTGGGAAGGTGAAATCTGGTCACCTGTGTAAACAGCCACCAGCTACCTGACTTATGTGTGGCGCCCACCCACAGCATGCCAGCTTGCTTTGTCTCAAGGGTGTGTGTGTGTGTGTGTGTGTGTGTGTGTGTGTGTGTGTGTGTGTGAGAGAGAGAGAGAGTGTGTGAGGTTAGAGGTGGTAATCAGAGAGGAAGGAGAGGGGAGAGGAGCTTCACCACAGGGCTTTTATCGCCTTTAAACTGCAAACACACACAGACACACACATTTCTTTATCACTTCCAACCCCCTAGAGCTGTGAAATTATAGGTGCAATAGTACAATACAATAATTGCTGTTCTCTTAAAGAGAAAGAACATAAACTTACAAGCTCTTTATAATCCTGCTGCTCAGAAATCAAGTAATCAAGCACATGAAGGAATTATTATTGTTATTTATTTATTTTATATATATATATATAGACTACTGAGTCACAATATAACAGGTAGAGACTATAATAAATAGGTTAATATCCACTGTGTCTTGCCTTTTCACAGATACACAGGCTATAAAGCCACAGTATTGCGGTGTGTCTTAATTGAGTTTGCATTTAAAGCTCCAGTCCGTAACTTTTTTGGGTTAAAAATGCATTAAAAATACATTTTTGAGCAAGTACATAGCCGGTTTTAAATACTGATAATAAAATAAAAACTACAATTGTAAGAACTTGGTATGTGCAGTTTTGTTATTGATTTGCTTACAGTTTCTGATTTATTCATGTTTCCACGGATTTTTCATTTGCATTCTATTTTTAAACCCTGCGGCTACTTATATTTCCTGTATATTAATGTTAAAGTTAATCAAAAGATCTCGCAGTGGCGACACACTCTGCGCTTAACACACCTGGTCATTTAGAGCAAATGTATTTCATCTCTCTCATTTAATACTACACAGATTATACTCACACTTATTAATGACTCTGGAGAACGCTACACAACAAAGTTGAAAAACTTTGGACTAAACCTTTTTTTCATTAAAGCCTCATTGCAGAATTCCTTTTTTATCTGCGCCTCAGAGTGAATTCAAATGCTGTGCTTTGGTGTGTAATTAGAAACCAGTCGGCCATCCTTTATAGGTTAAACACATGCAGGCACGCAGCGCACGGACCCATGTTTCTGCACAGATAGATATTTAACCACATGAATACACAATCGCTCTTAAGGACAGAATGATAGATTGAACCGCAGAACACTAGAGGTAACGTTAGTTGTTCAGCTCTCACTATGTTTTATTGATGTCAGATTTCTCTCATTTCCTTGATGAAAATGTTGGATTCTTTGTTCAGACCACAGCAAGACTAATGCACCTTAATGTTTTCTTGTAAAACTCGTACACGCTTTCTTTTTTTTTTTATGTGTTTCTGTGTGTTTGAATGAAACTTGCTCTTTAAAACCCATTTGACAGCAACAGACTTGCAATTGTCAATTTCATGGCTGATTAATTGTCATTACTGGATATCTATGTGTGTGTGTGTGTGTGTGTGTGTGTGTGTGTGTGTGTGTGTGTGTGTGTGTGTGTCTGTGTGGCCCTGGTAAACATACATTGTGGTGACAATGTCCCCAGAAGTGTAGCAATAGTAGTAATTTTTGACCTTGTGCATCCTCAGAAAAAAATGGAAAAGCTGTCACTGCGACAGTACCCGTTAAAAAGGTTTATTTGTACCATTTAGGTACTAATACACTCACCTAAAGGATTATTAGGAACACCATACTAATACTGTGTTTGACCCCCTTTCGCCTTCAGAACTGCCTTAATTCTACGTGGCATTGATTCAACAAGGTGCTGAAAGCATTCTTTAGAAATGTTGGCCCATATTGATAGGATAGCATCTTGCAGTTGATGGAGATTTGTGGGATGCACATCCAGGGCACGAAGCTCCCGTTCCACCACATCCCAAAGATGCTCTATTGGGTTGAGATCTGGTGACTGTGGGGCCATTTTAGTACAGTGAACTCATTGTCATGTTCAAGAAACCAATTTGAAATGATTCGAGCTTTGTGACATGGTGCATTATCCTGCTGGAAGTAGCCATCAGAGGATGGGTACATGGTGGCCATAAAGGGATGGACATGGTCAGAAACAATGCTCAGGTAGGCTGTGGCATTTAAACGATGCCCAATTGGCACTAAGGGGCCTAAAGTGTGCCAAGAAAACATCCCCCACACCATTACACCACCACCACCAGCCTGCACAGTGGTAACAAGGCATGATGGATCCATGTTCTCATTCTGTTTACGCCAAATTCTGACTCTACCATCTGAATGTCTCAACAGAAATCGAGACTCGTCAGACCAGGTAACATTTTTCCAGCCTTCAACTGTCCAATTTTGGTGAGCTCTTGCAAATTGTAGCCTCTTTTTCCTATTTGTAGTGGAGATGAGTGGTACCCGGTGGGGTCTTCTGCTGTTGTAGCCCATCCGCCTCAAGGTTGTGCGTGTTGTGGCTTCACAAATGCTTTGCTGCATACCTCGGTTGTAACGAGTGGTTATTTCAGTCAAAGTTGCTCTTCTATCAGCTTGAATCAGTCGGCCCATTCTCCTCTGACCTCTAGCATCAACAAGGCATTTTCGCCCACAGGACTGCCGCATACTGGATGTTTTTCCCTTTTCACACCATTCTTTGTAAACCCTAGAAATGGTTGTGCGTGAAAATCCCAGTAACTGAGCAGATTGTGAAATACTCAGACCGGCCCGTCTGGCACCAACAACCATGCCACGCTCAAAATTGCTTAAATCACCTTTCTTTCCCATTCTGACATTCAGTTTGGAGTTCAGGAGATTGTCTTGACCAGGACCACACCCCTAAATGCATTGAAGCAACTGCCATGTGATTGGTTGATTAGATACTTGCATTAATGAGAAATTGAACAGGTGTGCCTAATAATCCTTAAGGTGAGTGTATGTTGGCTACCCTTTTGGTACTAATATGCACTCTTTAGGTACAAAGGTGTACCTTTTGAAAGGGCTTCAGTGAGAGTGACAGCTTTTGTGCCTTTTTCTTTCTGAGTATCCCCATGAGGAAAACAGCTTATAAATTATTCTAAATGATGTTTTTTTTTAAATGTAAAAATGCAGAAAGTTTTCTGTGATGGGTAGGGTTAGGGACTGGAATATACATTTTATATAGTATAACAATCATTATGACTGTGGAAAGTCCCCATAAAACATGGAAACCCTGTGTGTGTGTGTGTGTGTGTGTGTGTGTGTGTGTGTGTGTGTGTGTGTGTGTGTGTGTGTGTGTGTGTGTGTGTGTGTGTGTGTGTGTGTGTGTGTGTGTGTGTGTGTGTGTGTGTGTGTGTGTGTGTGTGTGTGTGTGTGTGTGTGTGTGTGTGTGTGTGTGTGTGTGTGTGTGTGTGTGTGAGAGAGAGAGAGAGTAAAAGAGAGAGTATGTTCAGAATGGAAAACTAGCTGACTACTTACAGTGCGATAGTTATACCTGTCAAGTATCCCGTTTTGGCCGGGAAAGTCCCGTATTTAACCCTTCTTTCCCGCCGTCCTCCCGTATTAGGATTTTCCCGTAAATATCCCGTATTTTAACCTGCGTTATTGAAAAATAATAATACCCCGGGCGGAGTATATAAAAAAAAAAACATTCCCAATCTGAGCTCTGTCACTAGCCTGCTCTTAATACCATAACGTTAACATACATAGGCCTATATATATGTGTGTGTGTGTGTGTGTGTGTGTGTGTGTGTGTGTGTTTTCATTTAGGCTATAACACCTGCCTTAAAATGTAAGGGATACTGGAGCTTGGTTGGGGTGGTGGGACTGCTCGCGGTGGGCCCCGGAAAATTTCCCTTATTTTCAAATCCAAAACTTGACAGGTACATTGTCATGTGACCTCATCAGGTTGCATGTTTACTTCAGCATGTGGCATCCAGTTATTGCCTTTTAAAACCGTTTGTTGTGAAAATGTCCGGACTTTTTGCAGTCCATGCAAATAATGAGTTAGGAAAAAGGTTAAAATCATGAATTAAATTATTTCTACAGTAATTTTGTTTTTATTTAGTGTATTCTTCACATCATGTCCAACCCCTCTCCCCACCCCAGTGATGTGACAACTTCCTGTATTTTGCTTATCCAATCAGAATTCAGAGTCAGAATCATCTTTTATAAAAATCTTTTTGATTCACACAGGGCTCGATCCCTTATTCTCGCTTGCTGTTATTGTTTTTCTTTCTGTTACCATAAAATAAATTCCTCTGAGAGCTTCTCAGATACCAGAGATGGTAAACTCCCTCAAATTAGCGGTGAGTCACAGATCTATTAAAAAAACCGGTGACATTTATTGACTAATGTCTTTACATTCAGACTGCGACGAGGCGAAAATGCCAAGTTATATATCTAATGCAGCTTAAGAGGCAGAAGCGTCGGCAGAACAGGTCAGTGGTGGTCAGACGCCGGCGGTCCGGTCTCCATTCAGGCAGAATCTGTGTGTGTGTGTGTGTGTGTGTACTCAGTGACATTTACAGCCATAGATGTGCTGTGTTGGCTCTCAGATCCGTGATGATGTGATGCTGTTCTAAACACAGACTGAATGCAAAACCAGCAATGAATGGAAAGTAGTGTTGGTGTTCATGCAGGGAAAGTGTGGGCTGGAGGGTTTGCTGGACTGAGCTACAGAGTGGAGTTACTGATTCAGAGATAAGGATTCTGATAAAGATATTTCATTACTTTTGGAGTCTTTTCAAGGCTATTGAATCATGCTCGGATCTGTAAAACATTCTCTCCAGACAATTGGTGTTAATTTAAAATGTTCCTTTTTTATTTGAAGGGGTTATTTTAAGGAATACAATTTTCCTTGAGACAAAAGATGCGTTATAAAAATATACTTTTACTTTCACAACTCAAAACTTTCCCGGCTAGGATTGTTTGTGTATGTATTATACATATCCACTAGCGGATATAAAAAATCTGCACACCCCTGTTAAAACAGCTTTTTTTTTTTTTTTTTTTTGTGATGTCAAAAAATGAAGCAAAGATAATAGTATTAGTTCAGGGGTGTGCACACGTATGCAGTTAGGTTATTTCAGTGGCATTACATATAGGTTGTAATTTTTTTTAAAGCTGCAAAATTCCTGATATTTATCTTTGTTTCATTGTTTACATCAGAACAACCAGGGGTGTTTGACAGCGGTGTTTTATTTGCACCATATTTTTTTTTTTTCTATGTATTTGTTCTATTTTGTTTTGTTTTGTTTTGTTTAGTTGAGCATGCAATTGATGACCACATTAACATATGACCACCCACATTCACAAATCACAGCAACTCTGGCTGAACTGTGTGTGTGTGTGTGTGTGTGTGTGTGTGTGTGTGTGTGTGTGTGTGTGTGTGTGTGTGTGTGTGTGTGTGTGTGTGTGTGTGTGTGTGTGTGTGTGTGTGTGTGTGTGTGTGTGTGTGTGTGTGTGTGTGTGTGTGTGTGTGTGTGTGTGTGTGTGTGTGTGTGTGTGTGTGTGTGTGTGTGTGTGTGTGTGTGTGTGTGTGTGTGTGTGTGTGTGAAAAACCTTGATTAACATTATGTATGGACTTTTATTATACTGACAATCTCTCAATCTCTCTCTTTCAGCCATGGAAATCAGTATCTACATTGGCCAAAAGCTTCATCGATCACCTCCTGACCCTTGAGCCCGAGCACCGCATGACCGCTGAGGAAGCTCTCAAGCATCCGTGGCTGGTCAGCATGGCAGCCTGTTCTTCTAACAAGAACCTACACCGCTCCATTTCCCGAAACCTCCAGCGGCGGGCGTCACGGGCCTCCTCTCGCTGCCCCAGCTCGGGCTCTACTCCTGGGTCACGCGTATCGATGAGGTCTGGGTCACGGCCAGGTTCTGGGTTGCGGTTACAGCGACAGGTCACAGTGCCTGAAGATCGCTGCTTAGTATAGGGTCAAGTTTTGACTGGTTAGCGTGAACCCAGTGGACAAGATTTCTATGTGAGAGGCCCAAAGTGCTGACACTCATTTCACATGTAAAAGAGAAAAAGAACATGAAATGACTAACATTATAATTGGACCTCCAGGAACAAAATTAAAGGATTAAAAATGCACATGATCCCTGAAAACTCGTAGATTTGCTTTAATGTAGAAATACAGACCTTTTTTTAAAGGTTTATCATCATGTATGCACCCATACTAATATATTTATGATGCATTGCTGATAGTCTCTCCTACTCATGATGAACAGCGAAGGAGTTTAAAGTCTCCTCTATAAAAAGAAAAGCACAGATCAGCACCTCTGCTCGGTTCTCCCACATTTATACCTTCATTAATCAGATGAGGATGAGCTGATTATATAAACTCACTATTTTATTTTAAAATATACATTTTTCACCCCTGAAGAATCGCGCACCGGACTAAAATGCAACTGGAAAGGGAGTGTAACCTCAAATGGTCTGATCTGCAGATTTTCTGTCCTGCTTTTCTTCATATTACTGTTTTTACTTGGCAAAGAGCCCCTGCAGATTGATTGTGTGAAGAAATTAAGACTTTTATTCAGCAATGGATACATTAAATTGATCAGCAAATCAGCATATTAGAATGATTTCTGAAGACACTGAAGACTGGAGTAATGATGCTGAAAATTCAGCTTTGCATCACAGGAATAAATGACATTTTAAAATGCATTCAAATAATAGTTATTTTAAATTGTAATAATATTTCACATTATTGCTATTTTTACTGTATTTTTGGAGCAAATAAATGCAGCCTTGGGGAGCATTAGAAACTCCTTTCAAAAACATTAGAAAAATATTACCGACACCGGCTTTTGAACAGTGCTGATTGAAAAAAACATGGAACTTTCTGAAAGCACCAGTGGAAATAATGTGGGTCAATGTTTTACAAAAACTCCCGCATACCTCAACACTAGCTCTCTTCTGACATGAAAAACTGTTTTTAGAGTTATGAAGTAGCTTTAAGGTGAGATTTGGTAATGTCCTTGTAGAGAAAAAGAAAAATAGGCAGTGAGTGCCCTCTGTTGGACAAATATTCAATTGCATGGATTTTTATTTTATTTTTGACATTACATAAGTAGGAAAATGATGTCTCTTTATTCGAATACATGCATCATTTTGCAATATTTCTGATATGTGATAAAATGCTGTTAGGACCAACATTTTCTTATGCTTATATTACTGAGAAACAAACAGACACATTTTCATTTTCTCACCATTAGATGTAATCGTCATCCCATTTGTTTTTAATTAATTTTGCGTCTGTTTTCTTTTGGTCTGGTGGGAAATATTTAAGCATCTTCAATATACAGCTTCATATAAAGCTGTTTTGTGCATTGGGCCGTTCTGCTCTCAGCTCAATATCTGTTAATGGCGTGTGTGATGACTACTAAAGAAATCCTGACCATTAAACAGAATTAGCAATAAAATAACCATGAAGACCTTGGCTGCTTCTGAATTCCTGTGCTTTATTTATGAATGTAGGAATTCAGTCTGTCAATTAAACCATGAGAAAAAAATGAAAAGAACTGCTTGATGGTTTTCTGCCATTTTTACTTGGCTCCATCATCATTCTAACTAAAACCAGTGTTCTGTGTAATTCATTACAAGTAATTAATTTCTGTATTTTAATTTTTTTTTTCCTTGAAAAGGTAAAGTAAGGGATTAGTCTTAATTTTACTGAAATTAATTACAGTTACTTCTGATGTAATTGCATTATACTGGATTGACTAGAACAATTCTATATAAAACAATTGTAGATTTAAAGAACGTTTATTAAAATTTAAATGTTTTTAAAAACTTATTTCACTTTAGCTATAGTTTCCAAGGCAATATTTCTTATTTTCATTTAGTTTAACTTGATGTAATAGCATAACTAAATCTGAAATCAAAATTAATAAAAACTATATAGACATATTTTTTTAAAATATCAATGTAAAAAATACACAGCAGAATTAATAAAAATGTAACTACAATATAATATAAACAAATTCAAAATATTAATTAAAACTATAATAGTATCTCAATGACACTAAAACAACATGGCTCCTAAGGCCTTATATGGGATAGAAATGGGAGTATCTCATTTGAGTATTTTTCACCATTATTTTATGTATGTATTTATTTATTTTCGGTTAGAACTCAATGTTGGGTCAGTTGGTTCATGACCCTACAGTTGAGAACCGTTGGCTTATAACAGATTAAAGGTCAAAGGTCGATGAATGAACGAAATGAATTGCTTATGTTGAATTAGATAACAGCATCTGCTAAACGAATAACTGTAAAGGTCAAGCAAAATGTAAAAGTCCGAATTCTGCTCATTGACCTTCGCTCGCTGTTACTTCCACTCCACCATATGGCGCCTCCCACACATAGTGCATGAGTTGTATAAACTACTTAAATGGTGCTTTTTTGCCATTTCTGGACAGTTCTTGTGTCCATTCACTTCATTGTATGGAAGAAAACTCCATGACCAGTGAGTAAATAATGACAACATGTTTATTTCTGGCCAACTGTATCCTTAAACTGTGAATTAAAATGAACATGACATTGATGCAACCCACCAAATCCAATTATTTGTTTTATTATTATGTATTATGTGTGGACATCTGCAGGATGAATCTCATGAGGAAGTGGAGACAATGCGCATGCCTATTATTGACCACTAGAGGGCGTAAGGAGATCGAGGTCTTACAGTCACGTGACTGACCGCTGTTATTCTGCATCACAACAAGGTGAAGTACAGTGTGAGTGACCTACTGGAGTTCATGTTTAAACAAGGCAAGCCAGAACAGATTCAGTGAAAATGAATGCTAAACTAAGGGTTATTAGGTTATTTATGCATAAAAGCTTTTCATAGCAAAGAATCTTGGTAAGTATACTTTGCATATGAACATTATGCCTTTTCCTGTATTGTGGATTTCAGTATGAGTAGGCTACAGGAAAGAAGAAGAGAAACAAGGAAGAGAGACTGTTAGACAAAGATGGACAGAGAAGGCGCTTGTTTTGGAGGGAGATAAAGCTTTTCCCCCAGCGAATGTGTTATATAACTCAGAGACCATCTTACTGTATAAATGAGAGTCAGACAAACATGGGCTCTGGAGCAACACTGCTGTACTGTCAACTTCACATATAGCCTACTGTTGGTTGGTAAAAGCAGTTGGATTTAACTATGCAGCAGTTACATGTTTTTATGATAATTAAAAAATGTAAATCACTTAAAATTAAATATTTAAAAAGAACATGAATCAGCGTTTCACACCCATTACATCTGTAATGCCACATTCTTCAAAATGATGTCAGCTAAAAAGTTGTTTCAGAGGAAGAGCAAGTTATTATTATTAAAGATTAAAAACTTTTTATGTGGAATAACATGCACAAAGAATCGTTCCCAATAAGATCAGGGCCAGAAAATGTAAAAAATAAACCAACAGTTGTATGATTTTGAATTAATTTAAACAAAGAACATAAGTATAATGAATCCTCACTATTTTTAATACAAAAGAGAAGGCAGTAACAGGAAACCCTTTAAATCAACAACACTGACCAAACCAATCATAAAAATAAAAAAACAAAAGATTTTCAAAAACCCATTTCTGGGAACCCATGTCAATATTACTCACATTTAACTCTAGCGTCAGACAATTACAAATGTGTGGAATTGAAGTGAAGAGTAAATTGCAGATCATTTCCAGTCAGAGGTGCTTTGTGGGTGTAAAAAGTCATAAAAGGCCTTCACTGCATGTTGAGACAAGTCCGTGATGGGCTCGTATTGCTTGTTCTGAGACATTATTAAACTCTGAGTCACCGTAACCCAGCAAGAGTTTTCCTTCCCAGAAAATATTACATACTTTTCATTCTGCGTTTGATTCATTCATTCAGTTTTATTCAGCTCTGCACATGAGACACTATACTATATATATATATATACACTCACCGGCCACTTTATTAGGTACACCTGTCCAACTGCTCGTTAACACTTAATTTCTAAGCAGCCAATCACATGGCGGCAACTCAGTGCATTTAGGCATGTAGACATGGTCAAGACAATCTCCTGCAGTTCAAACCGAGCATCAGTATGGGGAAGAAAGTTGATTTGAGTGACTTTGAACGTGGCATGATTGTTGGTGCCAGAAGGGCTGGTCTGAGTATTTCAGAAACTGCTAATCTACTGGGATTTTCACGCACAACCATCTCTAGGGTTTACAGAGAATGGTCCGAAAAAGAAAAAACATCCAGTGAGCGGCAGTTCTGTGGGCGGAAATGCCTTGTTGATGCCAGAGGTCAGAGGAGAATGGCCAGACTGGTTCGAGCTGATAGAAGGGCAACAGTGACTGAAATAACCACTCGTTACAACCGAGGTATGCAGCAAAGCATTTGTGAAGCCACAACACGCACAACCTTGAGGCGGATGGGCTACAACAGCAGAAGACTCCACCGGGTACCACTCATCTCCACTACAAATAGGAAAAAGAGGCTACAATTTGCAAGAGCTCACCAAAATTGAACAGTTGAAGACTGGAAAAATGTTGCCTGGTCTGATGAGTCTCGATTTCTGTTGAGACATTCAGATGGTAGAGTCAGAATTTGGCGTAAACAGAATGAGAACATGGAACCATCATGCCTTGTTACCACTGTGCAGGCTGGTGGTGGTGGTGTAATGGTGTGGGGGATGTTTTCCTGGCACACTTTAGGCCCCTTAGTGCCAATTGGGCATCGTTTAAATGCCACGGCCTACCTGAGCATTGTTTCTGACCATGTCCATCCCTTTATGGCCACCATGTTCCCATCCTCTGATGGCTACTTCCACCATGTCACAAAGCTCTAATCATTTCAAATTGGTTTCTTGAACATGACAATGAGTTCACTGTACTAAAATGGCCTCCACAGTCACCAGATCTCAACCCAATAGAGCATCTTTGGGATGTGGTGGAACGGGAGATTCGCATCATGGATGTGCAGCCGACAAATCTGCGGCAACTGTGTGATGC